ACTTAATAATTAAACAAGTTAACTAAGCTACATAAGCATAGTTTTTTGTTTTTTTGTTTTTTGCTCCGAATGCCTTCAAGGCATGACTGGCTGTCTTGTGTTGTGGGGATCGAACCACAGCAACCTGAGCCTGACTGCTTTGTTGAAGCAGCCACTTAAAGAACTGAGCTAAGGGGCAGGCCCCCAAGCATAGTTTTTAAAACCTATTAGAGACTGAGGACAGAAAACCTGAATCAATTCCAAAGAGTGACAAGTCCATTCGAAAAGAGATCTTCAGGTGCTGTCACCCCTGACAAAAGAGAAGGTGGACAATGAGTCTGCACAGGCAAGGCCCAGAGAAGCCAGTGCATGCTGAAGGGCTGCAGGAGAAGCACACACACGTGGGACCCAGAAGAGCCACAGATCAAGAGAAGGGCTGAACTAAGCCACCCTCCCTGGACCTCACCTCCTCTCTAAGCTCCTTCCTACTAATATTCACCAAAACTGAAAGCAAGAAAAGAAAGCTGAAGTAGCCTCCCCCGTGCACATGAGGCTTCCAACTAGGGAAGACCAGGAGACACAGGGTCACAGCACCTCAGCAGCAAGCCCACCTTCGCAGCAGGCCAGACAACTGCTCAGCCTACGGAAGCCACCATGGAGCAGCCATGGAAGAGCTCATGGCACAGAAAGCAAGGGGCAGAACTAATTCCTCAGCAACCAAAGAGGCTGGCAGCTGCTTGGTAAAGCAGCAAGACACTTTCTACAATTCAAAAAGATTCGTCTCCACAACTCCAAAAAAGAAAAAGGAATAGCCTATAAATACACGAAAGTGCTCATTTCCATTTGTCAAGAGGAACATGTAAACTGAACTAAATACAAAATAAAGCAACAGTGTAATATCAGCCCATATCCATCACAATTGCTAAAAATAAAAAATAAACAGATAAAGAACAATACTAAGTGTTGGCAAGGACGTTGAGTAAGTGGGCCTCGCATATATGGCTGGGAGAAGAATGTGAACAGCGTAAGCACTCGGAAATGTGTGAGCAATTGCTACACAGTTAAATACACATCTACCCTATAAAGCAACCTTGTTCACTCTGGGGAATTTACTCAAATGAAAAAAATATATATATATACACAAAAAGCTTTATATAAAGATGCTTAGGTGAGTTTTATTCATAAGTCAAAGATGGAAAAAGCAAGGCCAAGAAGGGGAATATAATAAATTGTATGTCCATGGAATGCAACAGCACTCTGCAATACAAAAGAACAAGCTGATGCACGTGAAAGCAAAAATGTATCTCAAAAGCCATTATTCTCAGGGAAAGCAGCCAGACACACTGAGTATACAACATGGTTATGTTTATGTTCAACAAGTTCTATTAATCCATGGTGATAGAAATTACAGAAGTGTCGGCCTAAGACCTTCCTGCCTCCTCTCCCTACCTCATAGTGTCATCCGTACCTTCCACAGTACTACTTACACTCACACAGTAACAAAATATATCTAATAGAAAAGATACCAGGCATATTGCAAAAAGCCAAAGAGCAGAACCACTTCCTAGAGAGACACAGTGCTATTACACACACTGGATTTCCTACTACTCGTGACAACTTTTCAAGACATAACGGTTCACAGGAGAAGCAGCTGTGTTAATGTGCCTCTGTTTTGGCTGCAGATCATAGAAGCCAGACAGAGCTCACTTAGTAATAAAGCCTGTGGGTCTCAAGAACAGAATCAATGGCTGGAACATTGAAGCAAGTTTAGGAAGCTTTCTGCACCTTCCTCTTCCTTGCTTCTTCACTCTTCCTCTGTCTCCCAGTCCACATGATCACCAACAGCACCTCGTAAGAATGTACAATGCTGTGCGGCAGACAAAAAGGAACTCCTTCCCTCCTGCCTTTCTGCTGTTTCTTTCTCTCCCACCACCCTTTTCCAAAATTCTCAGGGAAAGGCCTGTGCTCTCTTGGGCCAAGTACCCATCTGCACCAGTAAATGTAAAGAGAAAGAGAAGCACATGGGCTCGACAGAGCGTGGCAGTGCAGTCTAACAGAACAGGGGAAAAGGAGATGTTCAGAGAAATTATTGGCAATTAACAATGCTGTTTGTTTGTTGTTGTCTTGAGACAGAGTCTTGCCATGAACTTATTATGTAGCCCAGGCTGGCCTTGAACTCATGGCGATTTTTTGCCTCAGCCTCTCAAGTACTGAGATAACAGGCATGCACAACCGTGCCTGGACCCACTGGGTATTAATGATATAAATAATGAATGTGCTTCAGAAACTGATGAGAATACTGACCCGTCTCACACCAATATGGATACAGAAACACTAACTGTATGCAATTTCAGAGTCAGAAAGCTCTAACATGCTCATTATTACAATCATTTTAAAACTGTAAAACTATCTAGATTTTTTTCATCTAGATAAAAACTTTTCAAATTTTAAGTAGGTGGTATGAAATAATACTCAAAGGTTTTCCAAACACAACCAGTAACCATGGCTAAGAGGTAAACTTTTCGGGGGAATGTAACACGAAAGAAGTCTACATTGATAGCAGAGCGTCTTGGTTACTTTTCTCTTGCTGCCGAGACAAAATACCTGATGCCCCAAATTAAGGAAGAAAGGGGTGAGTTAGCTCACGATCTGTGGAGGTTTCAGTTCACACTGGGCTGGCTCCAAAGCAGAGTGGCATGACACAGGGGCAGCAGCGCAAGGTGGTGGAAGACAGCAAAACCAGTCAGAGCGAATAGGGCGAGGAGCAAAAGCGACTCTCCTTCCCCCCTTATACTGTACGCGGGCTACACCCATATCCCAGCACTGGGCCAAGTAGGCCATCATAAACCCTAGAAGCCACCCCGTGACTGCAGGAGGCTTTGGGGGACATCTAGACACAAACTACAACACACAGACCACACAGAGGGGCCACCAATCAGATACCAAGTAGTGTCCATAGCTGTCAACCAGTAAGCTTTTAGACAGCACATTTTTTCCACAGTTAGAACAGACACTGTCCCAGGGAAGCATCTGGACCCTGGATGCCCAGTCCCTCATCCATCCAAGTCCTAATGCTTGAAATGACCTCACACCGAGATACCTAAAGTCAGCCAAACAAGAACAGTAGAGCCTGGTCCACCACCACTCACAGTGGCCCAGGACGGAAAACACTCCCACACATAGTTTTTGAGCAAAACTTCCTATTCAAAATTCGTAACTGTTAGGGAACAGAGTTTCACTTAAAACAAGTAGAAGCAACAAACAACAGAAACAAAGATAGGAAAAAAAAAATTAAATGTGTCTCAACTCTCTTGTGTAACAGGTGAGATATAAATAAAAGTTACACGGAGGTAATCAGGAAATTTCTACCTTTCACTACTTGTTAGGAGGTGGACAGTGATGGGAAAAGTGTATCTTTAACTTCCGAGAACATATAATGGCAGGAAACAATCATATTCCACCATTAAAATGTTCTTATATTGCAGGAAATGACAGAATAACATAACACACAGGACAGAATTTTTTTATATATATTCTTTAAGTGAATATTTTAAAAAACTTACAAATATAACACTATACCAGGCATCTTGATTATTCTGTAAAAGTTTTAGGTATTTGTTATAGGTTCTCACTATGAAGACTCCTAGTGATCCTCCTGTTTTCAGCCTCCCCAGTACTTGGATTACAGGTGTGTGCCACCAGGCTCAGTCTTATACAAGATATCATATATAAATTTCTCATATGAAAAATTAAAGCATTATCTTTGAGATATATTTTCCAGGAAACCTTCAAAAGTATCTAATTTTCTGGATTTCTGAATGTATGAATTTGACGAAAGCAGGAATGAGGAAACACCAGCGATCCTGGTTAAAGACTCAGTGAACTCTAAGGGGAAGGCCCTGTCCTACGTCAGCTGAAAGTTTTCACATTAACTATGGCTAGAAACAATAAGAAAACTCATTGTATGAATTTTTAAAGCCTATAATCTAGCATTCTGGGAGGCTGAGGCAGGAGTATCCCAAGTTGTGCTCAGCTTGGTCAACTAAGTAGTTTAGTGAGACCATATTTCAAAATGAAATATTAAAATCAACAGAGGACAGAGCTCAAAGGCCATGGGTTCAATCTGCAGTTATACAATGAACAAATGAATGAATAAATAAAAAAAATTACAAAGGAATGTGACAACATTTGCATTCATAGATGTAACACGTAGTTTTTCATGTCATATAACCCCAAGGTCTGGCATGTAGCAATGTGTAACTTGGAGTCTCATCTCCACTTGGATAGACTAGAAGACTGGCTGGTGTTCCAAAAAAAGGAAACATAAACCCAGCCAAAGTGACACTATCTATCTTTCTCTGTTCATGCCTGAATAGACAGTAACTGTCACGTAACACCTGAAGCACAATGTTTTGAAATGTTTTTAGTCAGACTTCATTTTTTAAACATGGAAAATGGTGTACAGTGGAATCTGAAAAGGCGTGGGTTTACAAAGGCAGGCTTGAGGTGGCCCTTCCAAAAAACCTCAGATGGGCTGCTGTCAGAGAATGCAGGACGTCAGTGCTGTCCACAGCATGCCCTTAGCAGGCCGAAGTGTCAATGTCAGGGGTCAAGTCAACTGTGCTAAATTCTAATATGATCCCCGTCACATCAAAGTTCATGTACATCAGCAACCTCCCTAGAGAAGACCATAAAAATCATCAATGTGATTGCCTCTGGGGTAGAGAGTGACTATCAAAGCTCCTCTCAATTCTCTACGTACAATCCAGACCTGAAGCAGCTCTTGGCACAAACACCTTGCCTGCGAAGCGCCTACAGGTGCGCCTGGGCAGGACTGCAGCTCTAGCTAAAACATAAACGTTAGCTCACGTTTTTATCAGGAGACTCAGTCCCATTGTACCCACGCTCCCTCCTTCCTTCAGCAGATACATCACACCCACAGCCTAATGCCTACCGACACAGTGAGAGACATGAGTGAAAACGTTCAAAGGGGACCACTGCGTGCTACAGGTGACAATTACCTGGAGGTAGGAATTGCAGTTGGTTGTTAGCTAATCGGAGATGACGTAAAGCTCTCAGACGACCGATTTCTGGGCACACAATTTCTAAGGCATTGTCACTGAGATCCAGAAACTGGAGTTTCACAAGGGACCCGATAGCTTCAAAGAGAAGGGAAGGGAAAAGGCAACAGTGTGAACACCAAATCTTTAATACAACTGGAAAAATTTTAAGACTTAACATTGTCGTCTCACTGAAAAGAAACTTTTGTGCTAGTGTCTTTTTTGTAAAAATCTTTTTTGTCAATGTCTTACACTCTGAGGAACAACTTTGAAAATAATAAAACACAGTGTATTAACCATTGTTATTCTCTTACTGATTTCTCATGAAAATGTTTTTTATTTTTAAAAAATCCTGTTTTCAGTTGCTCACCAGATAAAACTCAAACTAAGTTTTGTGAAACTGATACTTTTATGTTGACATAAAATGTAATAGTTTAACACAGAACAAAAAGCCAGACACTGAGGTGTCCACTGCCAGGAATCCCAGCAATCCTGGAGGCTGAGGCAGAGGAAACACAAGTTCAAGATCAGCACGGCAACTTAGTGAGACCCTTCCTCAAAATTAAAAAAGAAAAAAGATTTAGGGGTATAGCTCAGTGTGAAGGGCCCAGGCCTAATCCCCAGTAGAGTCTACAAAAGGGAAGGAACACATGAAAATGTTAAAGCAATATAAAAATGGCTTGAAAAAATAAAAAATGGAGTAAATATTACTGGATTTGAACTTATTTTGACTTATTATTTGCCTAACAATCTGTCTCATAATTTACTTAACCATTATATCCATTTTGACTATATTATTTATTTAATCACAATTCTGACTTGGACATATTGGGGGAAATTTTTTGAGCATGGTTTTTTGGTTTGTTTTGAGACGAAGTCTCAGCAGGTAGCATAGGCTGGCCCTGAACTTGCCAGGTAGACCAGGCTGCTGTGGAACTTGTGACACCTCCTGCTCAGCCTGCTGAGTGCTAGGATTACGGGTGCAGGCCAAGAGGATAGGGACAGGCGGTGTCGGGGTCGGGCACATTTTTGAAGCAAATAAAAGAGCTTTATATTAACATTCCCTGGTGCACCTAACCAAAATGGGTATGAGACCATTTACTCTATTTACAAAGCAAAGCTGAAATTATGTTGCCTATTAACTAAAAATTTAAAAATTAAAAGTGTGCTTACCTTCTGGAACTACAACTATGTTATTTGAGTGAAGGTATCTGTATATAGGGAAAAGGAAAATAAAGGGAAAAAATTTTAAAAAGAGAAAAGAAAAACAACCCACCGGCGTTCTCACGCACTACTTTTACCAGATAATCAACTGGCAAAATGCTGTACTCATTTTGAAATTTATCTAACATAAATGAGAGGGCACTTTCTTTTACACCCTACTGCAGTGTGGCAACACATGCTTATCATGGCTACTTCATATTAAGAGCTATACTTTACGCTAGAATCACAAATATTAAAGCTAGTTATTGATTTAGTTGCTCCTGTAAAACAAAGCATGTATAATAAAGTATGAGGTGCTTTTCAAGCTCATTAAAAAATGACTAGTTTCTCCAGTTCGTTTTGAATTATTCCTATTTTTTTCAGAAATACACCTGTTTTGTAAAGAAACACACTCATTGTGTTTAGGTCGACTAACTTTACCTTCGACAGGATAACTTCACAAAATAAAGGTATTCCTAGCTGGGAGCTTACTGCAAACCAAGAATGGAGAGATTAAATATTTATCATTTAATGTACCAGTAGAAACACTCAACTGTCAAGATATAGGATATGTATTTCACAGCAAAAGGAATTTTGTGAAAAAGAAGACAAAGTCTTCTCTTTAAAAATAAACACATTGCCCCGGCTGCGCCGGCTGCCCGGCTGCCCGGCTGCCCTGCCCGCCCCGCCCGGGCCAGTGGGGCGCTCCAGCCGACGGGCGTGTGTGCAGCGCACTCTGGTGGAGACTTCATGCCGCCATCGGGAACCGGCTAGCCAGAGCCAAAGGGCTCCCGCCCGCACTCGGAGTCAAACGGTAGCAATGTTCGGTTTTTATTTTAAATTATATCACTGCTTTTAGTAAATCTTACTTTCAAGCCTATCATCTTATTTATGTTTTAAAGTAAATCCTCAGGAAGTATTTTAAAATAGAATTTAGACCATTGTCTTCTACATTTTTAAACAATGTCAATGAACACAGAAAAGTAATAATGTCATGAAGATCTAGACTGGATTAAATTTTGAGGAAGATACGAACCTTCTGGGTTTATCAGCTAAGGTGCAGAAACACCTGGACATACTATTTCTTAACTTGCTTCCAGGAAAACCCCCAAGGCCTTTCATGGAGCTGTCATGATTCTCAGGGTTTGGGGCTGGCTTTTCAAGAAAGAACATGAGCGAGAAGGCAGCCCGCCTGGTCAGTGAGGCCGTAAGCCCAAGGCCCCGTTCGAGCACAGGACTCCCCTCAGGGCCCCCCGGTGAACAGCAGCCCTTCCCCTCTCTCTGCTTGTAAACCGAGCCCTGCTGTCGGCTCCCGGGCTGACACCTTACCGCTACTGGCCCCCTTGTTGCAGGGGGCATGTAATCAGGTTTTTCTTTTGGCAAACCACAGCGCTATAGTACTGGCTTCTATGTACACCAGCCAACAATCCCTTGCTCAATAACTGTAGGACATAATTTAAACAAATGTACTATTCTATAATAAATTTCATTATTTTGTATATAGGAATCCATGACATATTTTTAAAAAATCAATACCCTTGAAACATTAATTTTTGGAAAGATTACCAAATTATTTTAGCAGGTGACCTTAAAAATTCTTTGTGCTAAATGACTGTAAAGAAGGTGCCGGGACGCAACTTAGAAAAAACGGGGTATACCGATGAATGTCCATTTTGTATCTGTGTATTCAAAGAGGTTGGGATAGATATATAGTTGCATTCTCTTAATGAATAGAATGATTTGTTCTAATGGTGTTTGTAAATAGGATCTCAAGTCCGCATCTTGTACAGCAATTAACCACTAAGAAGAATATTTGCAGTGTATTATTTGTTGAAACTGTCCTTCCGGTTTGAATTGAAACTGTCTCATTGCTATCTGTTTGGCAATAAAACTTTGAAAAAAAAAAAAAAAAAAAAAAGAAAGCCCCGGAAGAGAATAGAGAGGAGAAGAGCTTGTAATCAGAGGTCCTGAATAAACTGCTGTAAGAAGAAAAAAAAAAAAAAAAAAGAAGAAGGTGCCGGGGAGATGGCTCAGTAGAAGAAGGGCTTCCCTGGCAAGTGCAAGGGCCTGGGTTCAATCCCTAGTTCCGGGGCGGGGGGAGTGTGCATATATACACACAAAAATACACAGACTTGTATTTGTTATACAAAAGCCACAATGCCTGCATATGGAAATACAGAACTGGCTTTTAAAAAATTTCAACAGAATACTTTCCTTAAGTTCTATATAAAAAAAAGACACTCTTAAAATGTCCAAAACAAACTAGGTACCCACTATGTGCCTGTGACTTGAACGTGTATTTTAACACATTTGTACCGATGTTTCAATGAAGCTGCGGCAGAAAGAAGTGTGGAGTGGCCCCGAGGTCGTCCTGCATTACGGGACTCACCCTGCCCCTCCCCGGCCCCGCTCCTTTACACTGAACAGGCCTGGGGACTAGTGCAGGTCGGGGCGTGAAGGGATCCCTGTCTTAGCATTAGCTGACCACAAATGGCCACTTGCACGTAGGTCTCAGGCTGGTCTTAGAGCGGTTTACGGTACCCTCTAGTTACTGGGCAGCTAATGATCGGACAGACATCACTTAGGTAACTAGGAAAATATTTTTTTAAAGGGCTGGGGGTAAAGGAGAGGGAGAAACTTGCTAACTCACTCTGTGAGGCCACAAACAAAATGGCAGAGACACAGCTCTTATAAAGCCACACGTACAATTACACCAGGAAACAAGGCCAGCTCAACAACGTAGAGATAGGCTTACGCCCCGTGACTGAATGCAGCTGACCTCGGCCACGTGCAAGTCCATGCACACCACGGTAGAGGACCAAGGAAAACCGCACGACTGTCTCAGTAGGTTAAAAACAACCACTTGACACAAAACGACCCCCTTTTAAGTTAAAAAAAAAATCAAACAAGTAGTAGAAGGGACATTCTTTGACTATCAAGTATGGATAAAAAACAGCTAACAGTACCCTTAATGGCGAAAGACTGAACGTTTTCCCCCCAAGATCCAGAAGAATAGAAAGGTATCTGCCTTCCTCCTGTATTTTCAACTTTCCCAGTTCTAGCAAGGCCACTCAATTAAGAGCAGAAATTAAGTAGACAGACTGGAAGGGAAGAAGAAAAGCTATTTGACTACAGCAATTTTATCCCATCCAAATAAACTAAGAGAATTGAAAATTCACATATCTACTTGTAAAAAAGGGTTCACAGTTGCATTTGCTATAGCCCAAATATGGGAATGACCCAACTATCCATCAACTGAATGGACATCTGAATGGCTATGCAAAATGTGGTATATCCACTCACTGGAATATTATGTAGTTATAAAAAGGAATGCATTTTGGTACATGTTACAACATTCAAGAACCTAGAAAATATTGTTATATGAAAGCACACCTAACAGGCCACCTACAGTACGACTGCATTCATATGAAATGTTCACAGAGACAAAATATCCATAAAGCAGGATCCAAAAAATCAAAAAGTAATGACTTCCAGGGCCTTAATAGGTATCAGGGGAACAGGGGACTGGCCGCTAATGGGTTTCTTTATCAGTAATGAAAATTTCCTGAAAGGAAACAGAGGCAGTACTCGCACAACCTTGTGAATATACTACAAATCACTGAATCAAATACTGGAAAAGGAAGAACTTTATGGAGTGTGAATTATGTCTTAGAAGAAATAAAACACACTCAGTCAAATATGACTCAGCAACTGCAGTCTCAGGAATTTATCCCAAGGAAATAAAAACTTACTTACAAAACAGCATGTCTACAAATGCTCACAGTGGGGGCTGGTGAGATGGCTCAGTGGTCTAAAGCACCTACTTAGAATAAGCTTAGCAAATCACAGGCACCACGGTTCAATCCCCCAGCACCACATGCCAGCCAGCCCCGCCCCCTGGTGGGCTGAGCTGGCCACACACACACACACACACAAATAAATAAATAAAATTAAAAAAAAAAATGCTCACAGTGGCTTTATCCACAGGAGCTTGGAAACAGGAACACGGACTTCAGGGGACGAACGCTTGGGCAAGCTGCGCCACATCCACAGCTCGGAACAGCGGTGCCTCGACTCCCTGAAGTCTCGTTGCAAGTCGAAGTGAACCAAAACCGAAGTGCTTTTCCCCAGGAGGAAACACTGATGCTAACCACTGCATTCGATCTGGTTCTCCTTCGACTCTATTTGCAACAAGAACTGTGCAGAGAATCAAGATTATGAACGAAGAACCACAGTATAACTGGCTGACAAAAAGGAGTGAGCTATTGATGTAGGCAACAGCTTGGAGATAACAAGGGAGTTAGGCTGAATTTAAAGGTCAGTGTCCCAAAATTACACCCTGTATGATCCCATTTAATGACATTCTTCCCATAGCAAAATCATAGAGATGATGGAGAGGAGAGACCAGCAGTTTCAGGAGATTGCGGTGTTGGGGCGGCGTGATGTTTAAAGGGTACCCCGGGGGATCCTTCAACTGATGAAGTGTTTGCTACTTCAATCAGGATACTGTGGACACATATCTACGTGTGTGAAAGTGGTAAAAGTCAACACTGACACAACTGCACTAACTGAAATCACGCACACCAAGGGATGCACGTGCAGCTGGTGAAACTGAAGAGCCAGCGCGAGCACCCACGTCAGGCTCCTGGGAGGAACAGGCACTGCAGGAGTGGAGAAGGTAGCATGGGGGAAGCTGCGAGAAGGGTGCCCAGGACGGTTCGGTGTTACATCTTACAACCACGTGTGAACCTGCCAGCATCTTTTTTTCTTTTCTTTCTTTTTTTTTTTTTTTTTTTTTTGTATTTAGCACAGGGTCTACAGGGGCTCACTATGTAGACTGAACTCGTAGTGATCCTCCTGTTTTCAGCCCCCCAAGTACCGGGATTACAGGCACACGCCGCCACGCCCAGTCTCCATCACTGTCTGAGCATGCCCCAGGGGCAGGCCTGGCATGGCAGGCCTGTGGATCGAACCCGGTCCGAACATTTGCCTAAGCAGGTGCTTTAAT